TTGGTTTCACTACTGCCAGTAGTAAAGGTGTGGCTATATCAGAAAAATCACTTGAAGCTGTGAGAGGAATTTTTGCAGATGATGAAAATACATCTGCAATAGCCCCGCCCACTAATAGATTAGGTTTTACGACAGGGAGTGGAAAGGAAGTGAGTGTTAGTGATGAGTCTTTGAGAACTATTAGGAGACTCTTCTCAGATGAGGTTCCTTCAGAACCTCCGCCCACTCATGTGATTGGTTTTTCTACTGCTAGTGGTAAGGGAGTGAGTGTTTCTACAGAATCATTAGAAGCAGTTAAGAGCATGTTTAGTGATCATGATGATGATAAAGTAGTATCGATTTCTGAAAGATCTCGTCCTTCATCAGAAGCTGCTACTTCAATGACTCCATCAATTTCAAGAACTAGTGATACTTGTGATAATGATAGTACTGATGTTCTTATGACGCCTAATTTAGGATTGAAAACCACACCTTTTGCCCCACCTACTAAAGTACCAGAAAGAAGTAAGCCAATTAAATTATTAATTTTAATTTTTAATAATGTGAAAAGGTGATTCATTGAGAAAACAAGCTACTAGTAGAAGAGGTCGTGTTTCCAGGCCTGAGAGTGCGTGCAGCAGTATTATTGTGTTACTATTTTTAGTATCACGATCTATTTTAGGTTTATTGTGTGACAGAAGTAATACAATCAAAGCTAAACGAGCAATATGTCAAGATCCAAAGACCACACCTATTGCCACACCTTCCCACATCAAGTATTTTATTATTAAAAATATTTTGAGTTTTTGTTACTTTATGTGCAGGTTTCAAAAAGAGACTCCTAACTCAATGTCCTCCAAATACCGACGTCCTAAAAGAATCAATCCCGTTTGGGAAGGTGACCTTTCTAGCGACCTCAAGAGGTCACAGCCGGCCACTCCCCCTCCCTCCTCCCCCATCACCCCCAGTCAATTATCATCCTTTACTAATCTCAGCCCCCTTAGCCCCGGGACGCTCAACAGTAGTCGACTCAATATCAATGACTCTCTATGTAACGCCCCTCCCCCACCTGTCCTCCCTCGGTCTCCTGGTCAGGTGGTCCAGGGACAAGAGGGGACCATAACAAGGGCAAGGGGACGT